AATCTCAAACTTTAGGTGCAGTCCCAAATTTACCCCAAACTTTAAGTTCAGTCCCAAATCTCTCCCAAATTTTATTTTAGGTAAAAAAATCAGCAAATTTCAATTTATTTTCAAAAATATTCCCCCGTGATCTAGTCCCAACTTGATGTGGCACTTCCACATCAATAACAAATCAACATCAGCAAAGTAGTGGGCTGATAGGTACAGACCGAAGTCGCATTTCCACTTCAATAACAAATCAAACCAAATAAAAATTGTTGAAATTCTCCAAAATAAAACCATTCTAGGATATGAAAGTTAGGAACGACAACAAATCCACCTCGAATTTTTTTTTATTTAAAAAAAACTAATTTTTAGATTCAGTCCAAATTTGCTTTGAACTTTTCTTTGTCTAAAAAAAAACCAAATTACTTTGTTAATGTGGATTTGTTGCCACATTAAGTTGGGACGGATTCGTATATTTTTAAAATAAATTGAATTTTGGTGATTTTTACACAAAAAAATTGGAGGTGATATTTGGGGTTTTAGAAAAAAAAGTTCGGGTTTTAAAATAAATTGAATTTTTGGTGATTTTTTTTTTACACAAAACAAAAATTCGGGGCAGATTTGGGACTGTACTTAAAGTTTGGGGTTTTTTTTTTCAGAGATTATAAAAAAAAAAAAAAAAGTTCGGGGCAACCACCGCCCGCAGCGGCTGCGTTGGCTTGTGCTCTAGTCCCCCCACGAAGGGATCGGAGTTCGAACCCCGTAGTCGTTAGGGATTCTTAAGTGTGGCGTCGTGGTGGTGGGTCCTGCGCTAGCGTCACCCAGGGTTTACCCTCCCTGTCGGCCGTGCGGGGTTCCGGTTATCAAAAAAAAAAAAAAAAAGTTCGGGACGGATTTGGGATTGGACCTAAAGCTTGGGGTTTTTTCTGAAATAAAAAAATATTCGGGGCAGATTAGGGACGTGACCTAAAATTGGGGGCGTTTTTAAGAAATTAGGCCAGCGCAAGGTCACAACTTTGGGTAATTTAACCCATCTTGATCTAACACATCAAACGCTTTTCACGAGAAATTCACTTTATAGAGAAAAAGGAATTGTTTTGCTTATCCTTTGTTTCTTTATGTCGGTTCAGGTTAATTATTTTATTCTATGAAATTCGAAGTGAAGCAAGGGTTCCTTTTCATCATAAACGTTGGCGATGTAATTAGAGAATTTACCGAATCTGACTCACCCGATCTTCTTTTGTTCCAAAGCTTTGGTTCTTCCGAGTCACGAAAAAAAAATCTCGACTCACGCTGACTTGGTTGGGACCTTTTTTAGGGCAAGAACTGAAGTGGCTCTCAGCTCGCGGCGTCATGTGATTGGTGTTGGCTTTTTGGTAACGCAGCCAAAAGGAGATGCTTTTCTTTCCCTATGGTGTGTTTAGAGCGGTGATTTTGATGAGGTTTTCTTTATTGAGGCATACTTAATTGGTGCAATTAACACACCTGTCAACTTGATCCTTATAGTTATCAATCACGGAAGTATCACGGAGTTTTGCAAGGGTATGTTTAGTAGCCAGAGTAGAAATCAGGATAATCTATCGTATTCAGTATTTGGTTCTTATTCAAGATAGGATAAAATCATATACATACATTGTTTGTACTAAATAATGGACATGATAGTGTCACGGGCCGACAGTTCTTTAGCCACGGAATAGCTTGTGCGGCACCTAATGGGTCATTCATGCTAGGCCAGCCCTCGTTCTCTAGTTATTCCAAAGAACAATACAGCGAATAGTTTCCTTGTATCAGATTGTACAACGCCCAGTTTAGGTCGAACGTCTAGTCCATCCAGCGATACACGCATAATACTTTAGGCACCACAACTGGTTTTGACCTGCCATAGCCACATCAAGAGAGCGACATCAGCTCCCGATCAGTTTGTGCACGGGAGGCCAACCCTGCCTTCATAGCTCTTAAGGGTATATTCGTTCTATCTTATAAATCTTAGTACCAATCGTCCTGACACTACTCCCATGACCCAGTTATCTTCATCCCTTCTACATCTTCACTCTTTACTCGATAACCCCAAGCTCCACTTACAAGGGTATGGGAGTACGAGAGAATCACAGTTCGTGACAATAAAAAATGAAAACATTCGGTTTAGTAAATAGGATATAGCAAAATCTCTTAATTTCATATCATATTCCATCTAGTCCTATCTTAATTAGAATTCCAAACAACCAAACGCAGCCTAAGACATTTCCCTCTTTTAGCATACTTTTGGAGACAGTTGTTCAATTTGGGATTATGTTAGCCACGATTCATAAATCTATTTACTTTCCATCTTTTTTTTTTTCAAAAAAAGTGTAATTACTTCATCTCGCCCCCTTGATTGATTTAGCATCTAGAACCAAGAGGATGTCAAGCACGCTCGCTTGCCTATTTCGACGCTCATAAAAAAAAATTCAACGCTTATAGTCAAATTATATAGTTTCTATAACTCGACTTTTCAATTTCATTGAACAGATTGTAAAGGCCTCCCGACCACGAAAGCTTTTCAGATGTTCCAAACCATTTCAAATTGTGTATTCGATATCGGATGGAGATGGGGGTTACAGGATCCAATGATTATGTTCACATTGAGCAGCAAAATTAGGTTTCACAGGAGAGAGCACTCGTTCATGATACGTGCTTTTCATCGAAAAGGGATGGCACTTTTACAATTTTCTTATTTAAAATTTCGATTTTATTGGGGGTCACTTTTGCTTTAATGCTTCAAGGTGGGAACTTTGAATTTATATATATCACAATTCAACTTTTTTCCTCTAATGAAATGGCATCACTTCTTCTGGCTCCCATCACAAATATCTCGTCGAATCTGAGTATATTCTTTTTCTAGTAATAAATTTACTGCAATTCCTTAACAAACCAAACCCATTCGATAATAAAAAAGATCGACGAATGAATCTTTGCAGCAACACCCACTTTGGAAAGGCAATTTATATATTTTGGACTGACCTTGCCTCTTTTTTCCACTTTCCCACCCAGCAAAATATATTTTTTATTGCATTTTGCGAAGAGAGGTATGCACAAGGAACACGTAAAGTGAGACATTGCAAAGGTGGCATTCGATATATAATAAGGTGATGGTGATTTCAGTGGGCTTCATGATACGTAAGAAGATCGAGAGATTTACAAAAAAAAAGAAAATGAGGGATAAGTGCACCAGAAGTCATAAAACTCGTCATGAAGTGCAATTGAGTCCTAAAACTTTCAAAAAGTGCAATTGAGTCCTAAAACTTGTAACGAAAGTGCAATCGAGTCTTAAAACTTTCAAAATGTGAAATGAAGTCCTAAAACTTGTCAGATTGGTTCAATCAAGTCTTTCAATTGATTACACTTTTTGAAAGTTTTATGACTCGATTGCACTTTCGTGACAAATTGTAGGACTTGATTGCATTTTTTGAAAGTTTGATGACTCAATTATACTTTCGTGATAAGTTTTAGGACTTTTAGTGCACTTATCCAAAAAAATAAAGTTAAAAAAGTTTAGTGAGAATGGGTCCAAAAATTCTGGAATATTGTACAAGTTGTGCGTGCAATTTGCGGAGATATTTTAAGGACTCAGCTGAGGAGCGAGGACTCTTTCTTTTCCCAACCACTGGACTAAAAAATGGCGTGAAGAATCTAAACATTCATTATTCTTTGACTGCCCAAAAAAGCTTTTTCGATTAAAATGAATTTCTTTTTTTGTTTATTTTATAACGCGAGATATTCGAACCTTTTATTGATTATCTGTTTTTTTGTTTTTCAAACAGTAGAGCACAAAGATGCTCCTGCTTAGTTTGTGCCAGACAAAGACTCCTTTTGATGACAAGTTGTTTATATGTATGTTTTTCTTTTTATGGTTATGTTGGTATTGAAATAAGATTATAAGTAAATTTATATCAGTCTCTGTACGTTGTTGACTAAAGTAAGTTCACCCTCATCTACATAAGAATCGTTCTCCATGACCTTCTTTTTTTTAAACAAAACAAAAAGTTCTGGGCGGAATTGAGACTGAATCTAAAATCGAGTTTGTTTTAAAGGGATTAAGCCGAAAAAGGATTGTAGAATACATTTAAGCAAAACATATTTTCACAAAATCAATTTAAATTGCTAAATCACTCGGTCTTCCTCTTTCGTCTTCTTTCACAGGTAAACTATGAAGGTGGATGATTTGATTGTCAAGAAAGTGCGACGGCGTGATAATTACGGCGCACATCCAGTTATTAAAGCATCCACAACCACCAAAATGAAATTTGACTTTACTTAATGAAATCTTCAGGGACGAAAACTTTAGGACCATAATCACCATGTACCCCTTTAATTAGATAGTAGAGGATAATCACGAGGCAAATCCAAGGACTTTAAAGCGCATCCGAATTTGTAAGTTTCGTGACTTAAACGAATGAACTTAAAGTTTTTGGATTGAAGTGCACAAAATTGACGAGTTCTATATTTGTCTTGCAATTATCCTATTAAAAGTAGTAGAGATAAATTTTTAATTTACTTCACTTAAATCAAGAAAATCACGATCCCATGCCCCAGAGGAGGGTGTTTCCACCTGTTATGGCTACAACGCCTTGTTTTAGGTCCCCTGCCATAACACTCCTGTCCCTCCCTAATATTGTTTTTCTTCTTAAGGAAGAACAAGAATACCCTTTTATTTTAACGTCCCAAGGTCCGGATGAAGCCTTTCACTCATGCGTACGTTAGAAAATCTCTCATTTCATCCACGAAAATTCTTGCATGTAATTAGTCGAGTCAACATGCAAGAATTTCCATCAAATCAAGAAAAAAAAGGATTTTTCCCCCCGCCCCTTTCTTTTCGTGTCAGTGAAGTGATCGTCGTTCCAAGATGCTCCAAAGCGTTTGGTGGTGGTGCGCATATTTGAGGGTGTCGTTTTCAGCCTCCCTCTTTTGCTTTTCAAAGATGTGGGGGGTGTTTTGTGCTGTTGTGGCTTGTGGCTGGTGCGCTCATCTGTAATTTTTGCTTTGCTCACTTCCTTCCTTATAAAACTCCCCCTCACAGTGGGAACACCAAGACGTTTTCTTTTTATCGGTTGATAAGCTAAGGAAAGGCTAAAAGAATAATCTTGCTTTTTTGATCGCTCCTTTTGTTTCTTTCTTGATAATTGTTGTTATGGTCATTGTTTATTATCGGTCTTGCATCTGCTTTATGGTTTTTGTTTGCTTTGGAGGGACCAATAACAGCGACCCTCAGAGGACCTGAGAGAGCGATCCAATATAAGCCTCCTTTTAGTACGCCGCAGTCCACACCAGCACTTGCACACTCTTGATATTCTCCGTTTGTAGCTGCGAGCGAAGAGGCGCTAAGTTCTTGGTCAAGTCCAGCAGTTTCTGGCTCTCCAGCAATCAAGTCAAAGTGGGAGGTAATCTGATTCTTGAGCTTTTAACTGTTTATGCGAGGATCGTATTCTTCTTGTTTGGATTCGAGAATTGGGCTGAAGATAACATGATCATACTTTGTTCCAGACATTTCTTTGGAAAATAGCTTAATGTTTTTCAGCAACTTTTGTTCAACTTGGCTCTTCCCTGCAGAGTTCTTATGTTGATAATACACCAGTTTGCTGTTACTTTTCTCCGGTCTTCATTGTTAATGAATGAAAATTTGTTTGTTTTGCTTTGTTTCTGTTGCTCCAGTTCAGTAAGCAAATTGTTTCGGGGCGCTAGATTCTTGAAGGATGCTGTGAAACAGTTCCAGTGAGGTAAGCCAAATCAGATTCTTATTCATCCTTCCGATGATGTATGTTGTTAACATGTATGTTGTCTTATATATATGGTAATGTTCTATGACAGTTTAAACTACTAGAGAATACAGTTGCATGCTCCCTCTAGTTAGATTTTTCTTGTGGTGGTACTGGAAGAATTGAAGTTGCACAATCTTTGGCTATTATGAACCATAGGATAACAAAATGGGTCCTTTGATGGGTCGTTGACAAAAATCATGAAGCTGCGAAGCCAAGTTTCCTCTCTAGATCTCTTGTTCTCTGTTTCCAACTAAATTTGTGATTTGATTACATTTCCAGATATCTTCGTGAATTGATTCTTGAGTAGGTTGAGAATTTATCTATCTCTTGAATCTCACAAACTATTGCTTCATCCTTCCCTTCAACTTGATTTTGCAGAAAATGAGAACAAATGGTTTGCTGAAGCGTGACCAAAGTGTTTAGTGAGATAGTAGCTGTCTCCTCATTCTCTTCCAAACAGATATCTGAACAAATAACTTACTTGATCGCCAGTTCGTTTTCTTTTCCTTTTTTTCTTTATGTTTTGTAGCGTTTTGCAGTTCTTGCAAACTTGAGTGGATTTTGGAAAGAGAATCGGTAGATCTCAAGTAAATGTTGCAGATCATCTTATTCTCTTGGTTGAGTTCAATGTTAGTTTCCTATGAGAGCCTTAAAGTCTTACCTGCAAGGGACGAAAATCATGACAACATTAGAATCTTTTTCTTTCAAGGATCTGAAATCTGATCTATACGACTTTGTTTCCAGGCAGTTCAAAAGATTTGACATCGTTGCTTAGTTGTAAATCTGATGATTCAGATAGGCACAGCATTGGAATCCACTTATAACATGTAGCGAAGATATAAACAAAGATTGATGGACTGCATCTCCTTCATTAGCTCTCGTCTTTGCATATGTGTGCAAAGTTGTTTCCAATTTGCTCCTAGAAAAGCAAGAAAAAGGAACTCGTACATGAACAAGGAACTTAGCAGATGACTTTGGTTTTTCACGAAACAATGAAGCTTGTGCAGTGCTCAGAAACTCCCTTTAAAAGAGCCAGAAACTGTTTCCTTACCATCAATCACAAAAGAAAATAATGCTAAGTTGCCGCAATGATTGATGCCATCAATTTTGTCAATTGATTGAGAATAAATAAAATTTTCCAATCGGATGAATAAATCTCATACTTTAGTATCTAATTTTGCTTGTCTTGTATGTTGAAGATTCTCCGTGTTGACAGCTTAATTGGCGATGCGGTTTGCATAATGTCCCATTCATGGTGTGTGCTTTGTGATATTAGCTTCAGAGACGCTTTTGGCTTCTGATTGACCAGACCAGCAAAGCATTGTTAGGGCTCCTCCGAAAATTAGTCGTGCATGCCTACTTATCATAAGTGTAGGACATTGTTTATAACTGCCGATGTTTTCCTTCTTGTTTATAATTGTGAATATATACCTTTCTTTTTCTCTTCCTTTCTGGTCAGGTATGAACTCGCCTTTAGCCCAGCTTGTCAACCCAAGAAAGATGGTCATTTACGAGCCATTTGACCAGTTCACCATGTGGGGAGACACCTTCAAAGGTGACAAGGTCAAAAATCTCGAAGCATCGTCATCTATGAGTGTGCATGCAGTAGATGATGGATTAGACAAGAAGGTGAACTAATCTCATAAGACTGTGTGCCTTGAGTATTTCTGGGTCATGACTGATTTCTCTCAGCATTGAATTTCGCAGTTTGAATATGTTTCTCATGAATCGGCGGAAAATTCCAGTTCCAGAAGCGATCAGGAGGCAAATAGACCTGACAAGGTGAACAGTGTTGCCTACATCTTACAGATATGAACGGTACTTGGTTTCCGGGATGTGCTTAATTATTCATGCTCCATCTAAACCACGGTCGAGCAAGCTTTCTCTAGATCCAAGATGATTTTGCGTCAAGCAACCTTAAGTATTATTTTAAGATTGCTTTGCCTAGAATAAACTCTCGATGCAACATAATTCGGTGTCGACCTATTCAAACATGTGCATCAACTGTGCAGGTACAGAGACGTCTGGCACAGAACCGTGAAGCTGCTCGAAAAAGTCGTCTTCGGAAAAAGGTAGAAAAGAAAGTGCAGTCCTGTTCATTTCATTGTAGTTTTGTTGGACTTTCAAGTTATAGGTTTGGATCTAAGTTGTCTTTCAGAAATATGTACAACAACTAGAATCAAGCCGCTTGAAGCTAGCACAGTTGGAGCTGGAACTCGGGAGAGCTAGGCAGCAAGTAGGCCTATGTCGACTCTTTAAGAGCTTTTCATCACGTCATTCTTTCTACCGTAATGCTTTTTAGTGCAACATTGGTTGCGTAGTATCTTTCTAATGGACCGGTTAAATTCTCTCTATTTAGGGGGTGTTCTTGGGAAATTCATACGATGCTAATCATTTCGGATTCTCCCAAACAGTCAACTCGGGTTCGTATTCTCCTGGATCTGGCAACTGTTTCGGTGCTTATTTATGGCAATCCTGCTTAACACTAAGCAAGTTAGAACTGATTGCCATTTCAAAGCCTTTAATGATTCCAAACATAAGATGTCGCCTCTCAGCTTCCAAATAGATGGATGGACCATCTAGTAAAGATGTAATTCCTTCAAAGAAATTAACGTTAGTGTTTATCTCCCAGGAATTGCCACATTCGAGATGGAATATGGGCACTGGGTCGAAGAGCAACGTAAAAAGAGTTGTGAACTTAGGATTGCGCTGCAAGGCCAAGTAGGTGACGTCGAGCTTCTATTCCTGGTAGAGAGCGGCTTGAAACACTATTACGATCTTTTCCGCATGAAAGCAGAAGCTGCCAAGGCCGACATATTCTTTTTGATGTCCGGCGCATGGAGGACATCGGCAGAGCGGTTTTTCCTTTGGATTGGAGGATTTCGTCCGTCGGAGCTGCTAAATGTAAGAATTTCCTTCCCTCTTGCCTTTCCATTCGACGCTTCCTTTACGAGAACGAAGTGTCTTCCAATCCAAAGAATCTTTTGCCTGTGTAACAAAGAATCGCTATCAAAACCTCAGTTTAGATCCGTCGATTATTCGACAGGTTCTACTGCCGCAAATCGATCTTTTGACCGAACAACAGATGCTGCAAGTGTGCAACCTCCGACATTTGTCCCAGCAAGCCGAAGAGGCTCTATCTAAAGGACTGGAAAAACTTCAGCAGAATTTAGTTCAGGAAGTCGCCGATAATCAACTAGGCACAGGGCATTACGCCTCCGAGGTGGCTGCTGCTATGGAGAAATTGGGAGCATTGGAGGACTTTGTGAACCAGGTGATCTCCACTTATCGAACTTGTGCCGCTCCTGGGAGGATTCTTGATTTATTACATTAGTAGGCAGGTCTCTCGGTGGAATGGATCCAACCCAAACCAATTCAAGTCGTAAGGTGCAGGGCTTGACGTGACGATCTCATTCAATTCAAACGAAATCGAACTCAGAAATGCTTGTGCCAGAAATCTGAGTAGCAAGGGATTTGATTGCTTAATGCCTAGTCTCTATTCTGTTTTCCCTAGTTCTGTTTGCTTTGCTCATTGACCGCATTTGATCTGCTGACACGCCGTTTTTCGTTTCCACATTAACAGGCAGATCATCTCCGGCAGCAGACCATGCAGCAAATGTCTCGCATTCTAACCACCCGCCAAGCGGCCCGCGCATTGCTTGCCCTCGGAGAATTTTGTCACCGTCTTCGTGCACTGAGCTCTCTGTGGGCTGCCCGTCCTCACGAACCTGCCTAAGGCAATCAACACCAGAACAGCCGCACCAGGAAAAGTAGGCCTTCGTAGCTGGAAAAGACTCACTGGCAAGCAGGCCGGAACTAAAACTTGCTGCTGTCGTTCTATAGACTCCAACGGATGTGCCTGCAGTTATCAAGGACTCCCAAGTTCTGATCATTGTGAATATAGAGATAAGCCGCTCGCGCGATTAATATCTAGGCACGTTAGTTCTTCCGCAGTGCGTGACGTTATTGTATATATAGTACACGTCTTTCCAGCGACACTTGCATTGCAGGCTTCATTTGAATGAAGTTTGCAGCATGATTCGGCTTGCGTAAATTTCTGTTAAGTTGGAAAGTAGATGCCGAGGGTTGTGGTATTTGAAGGAGGGAAACTCTCAATCATTATATTGAGTACAACTTTATTATGGGAGAGTAAATTTAAATTTGAGTTTGAATGTGAAGACTAGGGGTGAGCGGTTTCAGGTTCCTTACAGATTTCATCTGGAACCTAGAACCCACTATCGAGTACATGTTCCTCATTTTTTTAAACCTGAAACCTACCCGTTGGAACCTGGAACCTAGAACCTACCCTGTCACAGGTTTCAGGGTCCAACAAGTTCTTTTTTTTTTTTTTAGTTTCATTTTTAGTTAAACAAAACGAAAATGAACGCAACAATACCGAACAAGCTTATCATTCACTAAAGAGAATACATAAGACTAATTTTCCTAGTATTACGGTTCAAATAAATACAATTAAAATGATAAGTCATTGCGAGAATCGATGCGCAACAAAATTCACGAGAGATTAGCATGTCGATCAAGACAATATTCATATACAGGACCACAAACAAAATGGGAAGCAAGAAAAAGAAATGAATGATGAGCTTTTGGTCCTCAACCATCTATGAAAATTTGTTCCAAATTCTGATCACCTAAAATAAAATAAAAAACAATAATCATAGTTGATAACTTAATAATAGTTTTAAATTTAAAATTGAAGTATTGTGTATCGATTATTTGCAACCGCAACTGCAACTACTTTTTCTTTTCTCCTTTCACCATCTATTATCACCGTGGTTCTAATTATGCAACCATCAAGTTTAAGATGTTTCTTGAAAGAGTGAATGACGAAAGCAATCGACCTAACTAAACAACAAAAACTTGGCATAAATACATGACAATAAATACCCAAACATAACAAGTTAAGCAAAGCAATGATCATGCAAATGGTGGGTACTCCAAAACCATAATAAATCAAAGGTCTAAACAAACCTTAGGAAATGTTCTACATGATAAGTTAAGCAAAGCAATAAGCATGTGGACGAATATGAGAATTTGAGAGCTAAGAAGTGACAAGTGAGGAGTAGTAGGAAAATTATGAACTTTAGATTCAGGGTTCCCGGTTCTTAGTTCCATTCCCAATTCTCGGTTCCGGTTCCCAATTCCAATTCCTATAGGAACCAGGAACCGAACTGGACCCGACGGCTCCTAAAAAAATGAAACAGGGAATCAGAACCTCCCTCCTTAGAATCGAGAACCAATCGGATCGGTTCCCAGTTCTGCCTTGAACCTGTGCTCACACCTAGTGGAGAGGAAATGGGCCATTAAGAAAGTTGAGTTTATTTCTTAATTTTAGAGATTATGGAACATGTAGAGATCTTTATAAATTAGAAAAATCAGTTTAATAGCTTGACAAAGTGATAAAGAAATTAACCCAAAGATGGGGGGTTTCGCTCTTGGCTCTTGTTATTTCGAGCTTAAAATCGACACTATACATCTCAAACCATTCGAATATATGAATTGTCTTTTCATAATTTTATTGGGAAATATCATAATAACGTTCTTGTTCTTGGGGCGAGAAATTTAGAAAGGACTTTTCGGTCGTTTTAAATCGCAATCGAAACGGCTGGATAATTATTATTTTTATTCACTTTCAGTTAGATGTAAAATTATCTTATTGACTTCAAAATGATTTCTTCATTTTCTCCATATTAAAGGATGGGGAGAATATTAAGAGAAGTAATTTCCCAAGAGTCAATAAATGCCACACATTGGTCGAAAAAATACAAAAAAAAACCATCCACAAAATTCCCGGGAAAAATACAATAAAGAAATAGAAGGAAAAAAAAATGGGAAATTAGATTCAGTTAGATTCCGTTGGTTCATTCGTTCATCGCCTTCAGCTCCGAAACCCTAATTTGGATTCATCACCGATCGAGAAATTCGATCGATTTTGGGGGTGGGAAGCATGAGCAATCTGAGATCGATCTGTCGTCCCCACGCGGTGGTCGCTTCCATCGCGTGTTGCCGAACCCAAGCCCGAGCTCGATCGAAGGTGACCAGGGTCCCGTTCCAGAGCTCGAGCAGCGAGCCTCCGCGGTTGAATTCCCCGTCGTCCTTCGTGTTCACTTGGAGCAATTCCGAGAGAGCTGAGCCGACGTGGTTCAGGGTCAACCAGAGGAGGACCATGGTCAAGGCTTCGAGCTGGGCCGAGGAGAAATCGCCGTACGAGACCTTGGGTAATTTAAATTTGGAGTTTTTCGGTGTACTTCGCGAGCGGAAGAAGCGATTCTTCGCAATGCGAGGCTCTGAGTTTTTCAGTTGATGGGTTCGGTGACGAATTGCTATTCGTTGATCTCTGCAGAGTTGGAAAGAGATGCCGATGACGAGCAGATAAAGATTGCCTACAGACGGTTGGCAAAATATTATCATCCGGATGGTTTGTTCCTTTATCTTGATTGGGCGTCTCATAATGCTCATAATGCGTAAGATAGAAAAGAAAATCATTACAAAGTTGCGAAATTCGTTTTTGCTTATAAACTTTTATGGGCTAAACGAACTTAGAAGGAATTATCAAGCTGATAGTTTATTTTGTGTTGTTACGGTTTTGTTCCTTGCTTATTGCCATGAGGGCTTGCTTGGTACGGTTGAATAATTTGTTAGCAGCTATATGTCACAAGAAAGATCAGTCTGTAGCGGCAATTCTACAAGAAACATGAGAAATGATAAGATGGTAGCTCACTGAGTAGCCATTAATTGTTATTTGATCAATTCTTTGATGCTAGGATGCACCATTTCTGCAAGTTAGTGAGTTGGTTGCGTTTTTCTCCCAGTGATCAGAAGTCTGAACTGATTCGATTTTCTTTTCTGATAAAGTTTATGATGGTAGAGGCACCCTGGAAGAAGGAGAAACTGCAGAAGCTAGATTTATTAAGATCCAAGCTGCTTACGAGTTGCTCATAGATGAGGAGAAGCGCAGGAAATATGATATGGATAACCGGGTCAACCCTATGAAGGTTAGAGTTCTATGTGCAAGTTACTTGTTTACCGTGACTTTATCTAGGCTTCATATGGTTTAAGATTTTTTTCACACTGTGGTTGTCTGTCATTGGTTTCTAAGCTTATACCAGCAGATGGTGATTAAATTTAAAATTGTATCTCCTTTTCTTTTTTAATAGCACGTGATCTGTGTCTCTGTAGCAATATATATCAATGAGGCAGCAGACCAGATCCTGAAATTTTAGTTCATTTGCGCTCTGTATGGCTTCAATGCTAAGCCAAATACAGCATTTCTTTTTGTTTCACTTTTGAGAGTAAGCAGAGAAGAAAAATGTCTTGCGGATCATTTTGCTTTCTGTCAATTTTTATCTTCAGGATGTTAGTCATTGGCAATTTGGTGGATCCTTTTTCCCTTGTTAGTTCATTTAAAGTCTGCCTGTTGGAATTTTAGTGATAGGGTACTTTATGACTTAGGTATTTTGTACTAGCCATTTCAGTTGAATTTTATTTTTCCAGGCATCTCAAGCATGGATGGAATGGCTTATGAAGAAGCGGAAGGCATTTGATCAGCGTGGTGATATGGCAATTGCAGCTTGGGCTGAGCAGCAGCAACGTGAGATGAATCTCCGAGCACGACGGCTTGCACGTTCCAAGGTATTTGATTAATTTAATGAACACGTGAGCAGACTGACCTTCGGGTAAAAGGGACAATTTATATGAGGGAAACAGCCGCGGTGTACGACAGCAAGGAGAGAATTTATATGTACAATGTCAACAAGACCATGCTTCAACTGATGGAATGATTAAAATATGGTTAGACCTGGGAATACATGGGTAATTAAAAAGATAGTTAGTCGATTAAATCCTTCATCCAGCAATTTGAAAGCTGTCTGGCAGTGGGAGGAGTGGCTAAAATAGTTCAGTTTCCCATCTTCCTCTTGGAAGCTCTTTTTCTTAATCCCAAGACTCTCAGAAGATCTGAAACAATGGATTTGAGATTAATCCTTTAAAGTCCAGTTCTTTCTTCAGATCCCCCTACCAGAACTGCTGTGGATGTCTTTTCAGCTGGGCTGCTCTCTCTTTTCCTTTTCGATTTTTGGGTCAGAAGTGATTTTGTTTGATAATATTGCTCTTTGCCAACTGATGGTGTATATACATTCCGATGCATATCTAGATCGACCCAGAAGAGGAGAGAAGAATACTGGCTAAAGAAAAGAAGGCATCCAGGGAATATTTCACCAACACTCTTAAACGACATACACTCGTCCTAAAGAAGAGAGATCTGATGAGAAAGAAAGCAGAAGAGGAACGGAAGAAGGTTATCAGTCAGCTCTTAGCGGCGGAGGGCCTCGAGCTTGACACGGATGATGACGAAACACAGTAAAATTGTTGGTTGGCTAATTTATGTAAATGTCGCTGTGGAATGTATGTAATTGTTCCTTCTACTGAAGATCAATGTTTACTTATAGTGATATCAAAGGGTAAAAAAGAAATGAAAATAAGGAAGAACTCGTCTATATCAAGTGTTGAGATTTTGCATCCCGTCACTTTGAATTTGTCAAAGGACAAAAGTGGGAAGTACCCATGGAAGATCTGATAGTCCAAAACAGCAAAAGTTGCACTGAAGGATGATATCAGGAAACACTCTTCAAGCAAACCGGGTGAGATCTAATCGTGGGTAAGGCATGAAGTGTGAAAAGGATCATAATGATTCCCATGAACTCATTCAAGGTTGATTTTTTATTAACGTCTTGATAGTCATTTGAAATTCGCAAAAAAAGAAGAAGAAGAAGAAGCAAGAAAAGAAAAGAAGCAGATGCAAACACACAGAAGGGGAGTAATAGATGCAGGTTGATTGTGTCCGATGATTGCCAGTAAAGTTCATTCCAGGAAAACATTGATCGCCCGTGTGCTCCACAGAGATTCATTCCTACAAAAGTTCAATAAGAAGAAGGATCAACACAAATCTAAGAACAAATTAGTGTTGTCGTAACATAACATAAGACAAAAAGATGAGGTGGACATTGCGGGATTGAACCCGACGTGAATCGAACACGCAACCTTCTGATCTGGAGTCAGACGCGCTACCATTGCGCCACGGATCCACCATTGTGTCATAGCTGCTTAACATATATATTTAACCAAATATAATATGGCCTTCCTTTTCGTTTCCCTAATTAATTATAAATATTCTGCCCCCCAAGAAAAAGAAGATCGATTATGGATGTGGGATCCAAAATTCAGTAAATTGCGTTTCCGAGCTACGTTGCATAAATATTTACCCTTGGGTGAATAGAACCCACTTTGAAAGGCAAACCACACCCTTCATTCGTCCACTCATATTTTTACTTTCACTTATCAGGTGATTCGTCGAGTGATTTAAGACCTGAAATTTGATTTCCAAGTCGAAAGTCACAAATTCCATGCTCCAATATATCATCGATCTTAAAAAATCTTGATTGATATGCAAAAGACGGGATTAGAGTTACGTGCATTGTGGGTCTCGGGCTTCCCTACTCGCATCTCATGACGCCTTAAACCTAATATTCTAGTAACGGGCAAGGCAAGTCCTTATCATGTCCAGATACTTTCTTCCAAACAAGAACTTATCTTTGACTTTCTAGATGATCGTCGATTCCCCCGAATTTTTGGAGAATTGTTACAGGACCGCACGATTTTGATGTTTTGACTTACTTATCACGGTTCCAAATATAAAAAAAAAAAATGGAAAATACTTGATGACCCTCATGCTTCAAGGATTCGATTTTAAAGCATAGAATCACCTAATTTTTTTTTTTATATTCGCGGTCCTATTTTAAGCTTTATATGCGACATGATGACTTCTGTAAATTCACGATTAAATTATCAGGTTTCTTTTTAAGTGAACTTTTGTCTAATTATAATTACACGTGTTCATTATGTTCTCTGATATTGGAACTGGGGTTATACGCGATGCATACATCATCCCATATGGCATCGCTTGGTTTTGGGTCTTGTGAAATTTCATTGTTGCTCAATTGTGACTCCCCATCTCCTTCCCTATTTTCTGCCTTTTTTGTGTCACAAAAAAATAATCAGAAATTAAAATGAAAAAGGAAGGCCCTTTATTTTATTTTATTTTTATTTTTCATGCCCACTTTTGCAGCTGGGAAGAACATAGGAGCAATGATTACCGGCGCCAACCGGTCACCACGAGGAGCCGCCTTCCTAGGGCCATCAAAGCCGCAACACTTCCCACCTCGCAAAGCTTTTCCTTCTTTTCCTTTTTCTTTATTTTCTTTCTTCTTCTTTTTCTCCATTTTTAGGAGGTAGATTAGGTCATTAAATAGGTCAACTAGGGTAAGGAAATCGAAAAATAAAATAAAAGAATATAACAGATACTTTCTACCGATTTTTTTTTTCCTCGAAGTGCGGCTAGTCATTAGAAGCTCTACCAAGGTTTAATCCTATCTAGGATTTGACTCCCTCGAAGTTTTGCAACTTGGCGCTAATCCAAAAATCCGAGAAAAAAGAAAAAATTGAACCCGATAAAACTTCGAGACTCGCAATGTAAGATGGATCGGTGAAAAAAGGATCCGATTGAATAAGAGATATAAGATAGATTAGGCGGGAGAAGAAGCTTTATCGAGGCGAATGCAGAGAATATCGAACTGAAAGAGCAACGTCCAATAGTGATGATTTAATTGGGTAGAGATCTATGTAATTATTCGGAGAATTAGTTTAGGAAGTAAGGAAGATTCTGAAATACCGGAAAAGAAGACACATAAAGCGAACCTACTGTTCCTTTGGCAATAATTGATGTGGGATCGCTTTTGAATTCAAGACCATGATTGTTTTTGGAGGGGTTTATACATTGTGTGTTGCATCAGCATGCGGCTGCACTTTTTAGCTGTTGCTCTTTACAGAAGAGGTCGTTGGCCAGTCTTTCATGGCGACTCGAAGTTAACCGGGATAAGACAAATCTTCGAGGAGGGAAAGAAGAATGCTATGCACAACTCTCGTTACTTCTGAAGTCTGAACTGTAATTGTAGTATCCGGTAGCAGCTATATGGTGAAGTTACGTACTTGGTAATACATGTTATAAAGCTGCGTTATATTAAAACTGAGTCGAGGAGTTCCCTAAAACCTATATAAAGTAAATTGCTGTGGCTTTGAAGCGATGTTTGTGGTTATTGAGATGTTCCCGAACACATCCGAAAGTCACCGTACTCATTATCACAGCCGAAAACTGCTGCGAAAAAAACTGTATCAAACGGCCATTCTCATTGACTCTATAGCTTCACCTTCCAAAACATGACAAGCTAGAAGTTTCCTTGTAGAGTGGTACCATAGAAATCTCAAATTGATAGAACCGTGTGGTGTGCAATGAAACGTATGAAATTATCATTCCTAGTCAGATTATTATATAATCGAGAAACTACGATAAGAACATGAAAGACTCGTTGCAAAAGGAAGTCATTATTTATGTTGGAAAATTTATAGTAATCCTTAGCCGTTAAAGAGTGGGAAAAAAGAGAGGAAAACAACAACAACAACAACAACAAAAAGACTCAAATATTGAGTGGGGTGATGTTATGTCCTCCTGGTCACCATCAACAAGGAGGCATGTCACTTGTCAAGACACGTTGAAGGGAACTCATGGCATCTCCACAACTGTTAGACATTACTGGAGGGTTACATCCACTTGGTTGTAATGTTATAGGGGATGTGGAGGAATGATGCCCCCCACTTACGCATGCACCTATTTGAAGGTGAAGAAAAGTCTTCAGTATCTTGCCTTATAAATTTTTTTAAAAAAAAAATATTTAAAAAAAAATTTTTTTTAATTTTTTCTCTCTCTCTCTCTCTTTAAATTTCCTTTTGTAGTTAAAAAGCCTAGGGAGCTTTTTGTCCTGCTTTCATTCACTATGGATGCTACTTTGAGGGATTGAGATTGGTTCCAGAATTTGTATTGAGTTTAGAAACTCCTCTTTTAGGGGATCAAAATCCTAATCATGAAAAGTTACCCTAAAGAACAAGAATTTGGTCTTTTTAAGTTGCACTGATTGATTTGGGGTCCTTTCTTCTCGTGTGATCATCCCTATTATTCAGGGTTGTGATGGTTGGTTTTATAGTATAGGGCTTACTCCCAAGTAATTTGAAACTTTAAGTCACGGGTTCGGATCCCTAGTCGAACCACTCGGCATCGGAAACCTTGATCCGTTCGCGGGGTGGGTTCGACCGTGTCAAGACGTAAAATAATCTCGACTTTACTTCCACTAGCACTATGACAGGGCAGCTGCGACATCTTAGCTCACAATGAGCAGTATTTATAACTTAAACCGAACCACTAGTCATGAGTGCGGAGCTCCTCCAATAACAAGCAAGGGATTATTAATTGTGGTCCTTTTTGCCGATGGAAAAGATCTTTCTAGTCATCCGCCCAAGTAAACCACATAACAAGGTCACTTTCGACTAAAAGTGAAGGTAAGGTATGATTCAGCGTCTCCCGATGTGCATGGACCTGTACACCGAAAATGTTTTGAAAGCTCTGAAGATATGTATTGTTGTGATAAGGGTTGAAGATGGCGCGTGATTTACAAGATCAGATTTACTTTTGAAAAACGACTTTGCATCAACTGTACATCATGGGTAATAATTCAGGGAGCAGAAGTGTCATTATTTGGAGGGTCACTTCACTTCTTCTTCTTCTTTTCAATTACCCAACTATGTTACATCAAGAGCAAAAAGGCAAAATTTCATTCACACCCCACTACAAGCAGTGGCTTATATGCTTAGGATGTCAAGCTCTTTCAGTCATGTCAATGTGAGTCCTGTGATGGTTTTCTCGTGGGCCAATTCATGAGATGAGTAGGCCCGAAGGTTCTGTCCATGATTGATTCGAGTCTCTCTCTCTCTTTCTCTCTCTCTCTCTGTACTTAATCATCATTTAGACTGATGCTTTCAAATCATGATTTGTTTGGGTGCTGTTCATGCTGCGGATCACGGATGTGTGAACGAGGCAAACTTCCCTTTTCATTAGAAAAAAGCTAGCCACGATTAACCACACGCAAGAGGGTACATTGTCTGTTATTTGCTACCAAACTCCAAAGTGTGGTGGAAGAGAGGTACAGATGATGGTGCCAATAACGATGTCAAATTGCCATTAAATTTGATACAGCCATTGAGATTGCGACGTGTTTGCATTGCCCATAAATGGACAGTCGTGATGAATTTTGCAAAGTAACATACTGTGGTCGATCTCAAGTGAGTTAATCTACTTAATCTCTTAAAGGACATCGTCTGAGATATTTAACTTCGATTGTCTCGTGAAATTCGATTTAGTAGTTTTCTTGGCCTACTTTCAATTTATAAAGTCAAAAGATTACTCGATCTTCCTTACCAAAAAAAAAAAGATTACTCGATCTTGTAACGTGATCAAAGTTGTTTATCCCAAAGGGCATGGAGTTTCAATTGTTTCGATAATGTCGGGTGTGGCCTCGACAAAGTATGTCATTCTAATCTCCTAATTTCATTT